CCAATCGGATCATCATAAACATAAATCTGATGATCTCTCTTCCTGCCATAAAACCTTCAATGGCTCCCTTTTGCTCTCAGAATAAAGTCCAGGCTCCTTAGCCTACCATTTCGGGTCTCGTACAAGTTGGTCTCCAGGTCACTATCCAGACTCGTTTTTCACTATTTCCACACGTGCTCTATCCTACAGTTTCCAGAATTTCCATTTAAACAAGGCTGGGGTGGTACATTCCAGTTGGAAGGGAACACAGTAGGGGCTCGTCCCGAAGCTGCCTCTATAAGCAGGAACAGCTGAGCACGGCTGGCTGTGTTTTCCTGTTCTCTGATCTGCTCCTTGGCACAGGCTGTTCCCTGCGTGTGGAATGCTGTCCCCACACCTCCGTTTCTCAACACCTGACCCAAAGGACACCTTCATCCTGATCACATGACCAAAGGGTTGGCTCCCCCTTCCAAATAAACTCCCTCACAAAACTGATTCCAGTTCCTGTGACCAGGGGACCCACTACCCTTCCCTCAGAGCAAGGATCTAGCCCCAGGCCAGCAAGTGAATGGCAGGAAAAGCAGGCAGGCAAAGTACCAGACTGTGGAGACCTGGCTGGCTATACAATTTGCCAGTGTCTTGCTGGGTGACCTTGGGCAAGTCACTTTTCCTCCAAGGGCCTCAGTTTCCTCTCTGTAGAGTGAGATACGAGGAAGGACATCAAACCAGGATGAAAGCTTGAGCCAAGTTTCTCCCTCCACCCCACATCTGGCCAGACCTTGGTCCTGTGAACAAGAACTTCTGGGGTCCTTTATTTTGTATTAATTTGCACATGTTTGCATATGTGCTATAAGAGGCACCGACTGCATTTCATTCATAGAAAGAATTAAGACTGTCATCTAATTGATGTCCAGGGATGGAAAAGACCCAGTGGCTCATGGTTCCTCTTAAATCTTAGCAGTCAGAGGCCTTTAGTAATTAACCCTCCAACCCCCTCCTTTGAGAAATGAGTAACCCAGGCTCAGAGAGGGAAAGTGACAAGGCCAAGTTCACCGGGGGTACCCCCAAGAGGAGCAGCAGGCTTCCTCCAGGCTCCCCACTGTCTGCCAGAGGATTGCACAAGGCACCTCACTTCTCTCGCTATGCAGGGTACGAGGAGAGGGCCCTAGTTTTCTTCTGAGGCCCTTCTCTGCACCCTAGAATAACAAAGCCGGCTGGCTTGGCAGCCTCCGCAACCACTACAGGAAACCAAAGTGTGGTAGAAAGGCAGATGGGAGTGGAAAATCCTCTTAGCGATGTTAGAGCGTTGCTTTCACCTGTTCTAAAAATAACCCAGCTTATTAGAAATTGATAGATGACAAGGTAACCCGCAAGTTATTCCACTGAGGCTGGGGAGCCGGCGCGATTCTGCCTGAGCCGAGAGGGAGCTGGGAGATGCCTCCGGGAAGCGATGCGCTGACTGGACCTAGGAACTCAGCATTCGGCCAATGGCAACAGAGGGGCAAAGACACACCTGCCATCAAAAGATCGTAGTCTACAGAAGGGGAGCTGGACACCAAGTCAACAAAATAATTGCAAAGTGGGACGGGGGGTACAAGGGAGACTAGCAGTGCTAAGATTCAGACCAGGCTGGGCAGGGAGGCCCCTGGAAGGGGGGTGTTTAAACTGAGACCTGGAGAGTGAATAGAAGCCAGCCCAGCAAAGAATGGAGGGCAGGGCATCGCCAGGAGAGAGGCAAGCAAGTCGATGGATAGAAGGTGGGAAGGAAGGAGCTTGGTGGTTCAAGAAAGGCCAGTGCAGGGGGAAGTGGGAAGAGGCGTAGACTTGAAGGAGAATGCTAGAAGGGGCAGGGCATTGAAGGCCTGTGGACTTTGGGATTTGACTCCAGGTCTATGGGGAGCCACAGAAGCACGGTTTGGAGGAGTGGAATCATGGGGTGTGGTTTGTGAGCCTTTTAGAAAGCTTCCTCTTGCCCGTGGTGGGGGATACTGATGGGGCGGGGGTCAGGTCGAGCTGCCAGAAAGCCAGTTAGGCAAGAATGTAGTATCCAGGTGGGAGTGATGGCACCCTGGACTGAGGGGAAAGGGGAAAGGAGAGAACATGATGGACTCCAGATCTGTTTTGGAAATCACCTTCCCAGGAGTTGCAGATGGACTGAATTGGGTAGGTGGGGGGGTGAGGGTAGAGAGGAGGGCTCTGCAGGGGACACCCAGGTTTCTGGCCTGAGCACCTGGTGGGTGGCAGTGCTGTTCCCAGAGGTGGGAAAACCTGCAGGGCAAGGCGGACAGGTGCGGGGGTTCTGTTTGGATGCTGGGTTGGAGAAGTGACCCAGCATGCTCCAAGCAGCTCTTCCCACAGTGTCTTCCTCAGCTGGGAGCCCCTCAGGCCACCCCCTCTTCACTCCATGCTGACCACATCAGTACCTATAATAATCACAACTTTTTTTCATACAAAATTTTCTCTTTTAATGTACAGGGTTATTCCCCACTCGTGAGGTCTAGTGGTTCCTGGCTGAACCCAAACCCGATCCAAAGGGCACAGAGGACCTGCCACGTCAGGGGTCATTCATCTGGCCCTCCCCCAGCTCGGAGGAGTCTGGGGACAGAGGCCTGCTTCCCGTCCTCCCAGCCCTTAGGGTCTGACACCTCTTCAGGGCAGGAAACTCTTCCTTGTCACAGAGCTGAAGGCCTCCCTCCCCCCTCTGCTCCCCACCCCAGACCACTCCCCTCCTTATCCCCCCTGGAGGGTCCCGGTTAAAGCATCCGCTTGTCAGTGTAAATCTGCTGGGTTCAGACCAGCAGCTGGAGATGGATGGGCAGGAAGCAGTAACAATGGATGAAAGACCCTCTGTGCCCAGGTGGGTGGGGGAGGGAGAGGCAGGAAACAGAAGCCTCCCTCCCAGGACGGCCAGGAGCGGCGGCGGGAGGCCTGGGATGCCAGAACCTGCGGGGTTTGTTTGGATTCCCCAAGGAGCCAAGCTGGGAGCCCCTCACAAACGGCAGCCCAGCTCATCGCCGTGGGGTGCCGGGTCCAGGATGTGTGTGACAGGAATGTCGGTTTCCTACATCACTGTTTGTCCCCAGGGCCTAGCACAGGGCCCGCTGCACACTAGGGGCTCGTTTGCTGAAGGAGGAAATTCATCTGGCACGACTAATAACTAAAAAATTACAGTTTTATATTGATTCTCTTTGTTGAGAAAAAGAAACCTCCACGATGATCCCTTTCCTCCTTCAGAGCCTTTGCGCATCCTGTTCCTTGTGCCGCCCATGCTCTTCCTTCTGCTTTTTGCTAAGTCAGCACCCGGCCGATTTCCTTCAGGGCATTATTCTTAATCAGAAGTCCTCTTGCTTAATATGTGTCCTTATTTTTTTACATCCTGTCTCTCCAACCAGTGTGTAAGCTCCAAAAGGGCTTCTTGTTCATTGTTATATCCCCAGAGCCAGTGCTTAGAAGATGCTCCCTGAACAGTTGTTAAAGAGAAAAAGCGATGAACGAATGGTCCCCGTAATAATGTCATTCACGCCAGATGCTCTGCAGTCTGCTTCCGCGACAGAACAAAAGGGGGTCTTGCTCTTGCACCGAGGATTGTAAAGCCCAACCCACACTGAGCGCCTAGATTCCAGTCAATAATCGTGACCACTGCACATCATTTTAGGGCTTGGACCAGAATCTGGGGGTGAATGGGGTGCGGGGGGTCTGCAGATGGGAATGCCCACTGGGTGTGCTGCTGGGAACTGGGGCTGTAGCAGTGACTCACTACTCAGGGACTAAAAGTTGCAGCCCACCTGACACGAAGCTGCCTCGGCGACCTTGGCCAGGTGCAAGAACTGTGCGTGGGATGAGGAAAGAGCTCCAGTTTTAGCAGAGAGAGAGAGAGAGAGAGTTGATCTGAGGCTGAAATGGCACAAAGTGCCAACTGTGACTAAGGAACCAGCTTAGCTGGGGTGGTGACCCTGCTGATGTGCCCACTGTTGCCAGTGGGGACTAGAATGAAGCCCAGAAATTCGGTGCCTTCAAGTGGAATAATTCGTGTCCTCTCCACAGTATGGGATCCGGTCCACAGAAAAGGCCCGAGGCCATTCATTCCCTCTGGAAACTCATGGGAACCTCCTGCTCTGTGCCAGGCCCTGTGCTGAGCCCTGGGGTTGTGGGGTGAAGGAGAAGGAGTCCTACCCCTAAAAGTCCTTGGTGCTGGCCGGGGGTCGGGTGAGTGCGGGGCACACAGACTTGTAGACAGGCCTGGGGTCCTGGCCACCTGAAGCCAGCGCAGATCAGCCAGGAAATCGCTGGCCGCGCCTTCCCGACTCCCTCTGTGTCCACACCAGAGAGAGCAGGGACCATGAAGGGCATCGTGAGGCTGGGCGGGGCCGGGTCGGGCCGGGTCTGGTCTCAGCTCCACCTCTAGGTCAACATGTGACTGTAAGCAAGTGACTTAACCTCAGTGATCTCGAAACCTCAGTTACCTCATCTGTAAAAGGGGGATAATAACAGTAACGGCTTATGTGGATCTGTGAGAATTGCACGAATTAAGCTACAACGTTCTTTGCATACAGGTGCTTAAGAAGCCAAAAGCTGGCTTCTTCTTTGGGGGGGAAGGGTGTGCACCTAGTGTCACGGTGGCTACTGTTCCCTCTCACAGGCTCCAGCCTCGGATGGAATCGGTCAGTGATGCGGCAATGTGTAGGGAGCTGTGACCCCGTGCCGGGCCCATTGCCCGCGTGGAGGAGCGGGAATGAGCGAGGCCCCGCCCCGACCCAGGGGTCAGTCGCCCTCCAGAGAGGGACAGGGTAGTAGTGTGCTCGCCACAGAAGGTCTTGGCAACGTCGTCCCGGACAGAGAGTCTGGGGTACAGCAGACAGCCCCTGAGGTGGCCTCATTTATACCTCCCAGGGTCCTTTACGGGGTGTCCACTGTCATCCCCATGTCACCAATGAGCAAACCAAGGCTCAGAGAGACAAATTCTCCCTCCCAGCGTCACACAAACTCTCTCCCTGTCTGTCTGTCTGTCTGTCTGTCTCCAGAACCCAGGCTCTGTCCTTGCCAGCACCCTGCACACCGCCAACCCTGTTCTCCAAAGGCCTGCACAGATGTCGGCTCCTTCCCACCACGCATGTCCGTGCGTCCCGCAGCGCCAAGCCCGGTCTGGGTATCACAGGAGAGGAGGTGAACCGGACATGGCCCCCGCCCCCGCCCCCACCAGCCACCAGAGAGGTAGATGTATGGCATTCGGGGGCTCTGTCCCTGTGTATTTTTGGTGACACTGGTGGGGGACCCTTCAGCAGTGGTCTAGCTTCCCCTACCCTCCACCGAGGGGCTGCTGGGAACCACTGAGAGGGGAAGCTTGTGACAGTCAGGCCCTCAGGGCCACCATGCTCAGCCCGGCTCTGACTCACCACCCACACCTGGCGCTGGCCTCAGGCAGCCCGGCTGCTGGAAATAGACACGGGGCAGAGAACAGGAGCCGAGCAGGGCAGGGGGTGGCACCTGCACGCGTGGCTGCCGTTCCCACCCTCCCTGCCAGGAAGTGGAGAAACGTCGTCCAACAGAGCCTGCCGGAAACAGCCCGGGCCGGGGATGCGCCTGGGAGTGAAAGGCCCCACCCGGGCCACCCGGGAGGTTGTCCAAGGAGCTGTGACAGTCACAATAAAAACGATGGCGTCTCTCTTCCCACAAGGCTCGGGGGTGACTGAGTTCTTGCTATGTGCCAGGCGCTGGCCCGAGTAAGTGCTTTGCATGTCTCAATGATCTCAATGAACGGAGCTCTCACAGCTTGCCAGGCGGCTGTAATGAGATTAAGCCCACTCTGCAGATGAGGAACTTCAGGCTCAGAGAAGCAGTAACTTGCCTAAGACCACATAGCCGCTGTACCAGGCAATGTGGACCCACCTCAATTTCCCCACCCAAACCCAGCGATCTGTACTAGGCAAGTCAGGACAGTGTCCAGGGCTCACACCGCGGGCAGGCATGATGACACCACCTCTGTGCGGTGAGGAGGACCAAGGGCCGTGCGTGCGAAGTACCCGGGAGGTGTGCGGTGCATGCCTGGTGTCGTAAGCCCCGCCGCCCTGCCCCCAGTTCTGAGCCAGAGCGAAATGGCCTCTGCTTTCAGCTGGGCGGGGGTCAAAGACTTCCGGGGGGGGGCCAGCCCAAAGGCTGTCAGCGCCACTGGAATTCATCTTTCTGAGAAAGGCCGAAAGGCCTCAGGGAAGCAGCAGTTGGAACTGAAGGGGGAAAGGCAAAGGAAGCATCGATGAGAATGGGAAATGGCACAGCCGCAGAGGAAAACGGCATGGAGATGCCTCACGAAATTCCAAGTGCAGCTGCCCATGGCCCAGCAGTTCCACCACCGGGTGCGTGTTCGAAAGAATTGAGGGTAGGGCCCTGAAGAGATTGCCACACCGATGCTCACAGAGTATTATCCACTGTAATCAAAACGGGAGTGGCCCAAACGGCCACTGACCCACGAATGGATAAGCAAGATGTGGCCCATCCCTGCAACGGAATGTCAGCCCCGAAGAGGAAGGAAGTTCTGAAATGCGCTCCGTCCAACATGGATGCACCTGGAGAGCAGTGTACCAAGTGAAAGCACCCAGTCACCAAAAGGCAAATGCTGCTCGGTTCCACCCATCTGAGGTGCCCAGAGGAGCCAGAATCGTAGAGACAGGAAGCAGAGCGGTGGTCGCCGGGGGCTGGGGGAGGGGAAATGGGGAGTAATTATCTAATAGGTGCAGAGTTTCAGTTTTACTGAATGAAATGGGATGAAAGGAGTTCTGGGGATGGGTGGCCGTAATGGCTGCACATTATGAATACATTTCATGCCATTGAACTGTACTTAAAAATGATGAAGATGGCAAATTTTATGTGTGTGTATTTTTACCACAATAAAAAAAAATGGGGGGAAAATGGTAAAGGAAACCAGTTTTCACGGCAGGGTCATTTTTCCCTTCACCGCAACCCAAAGGTAGGCAGACCCGCTCTGCGGAAAGGAAAACGGAGGGCAGGATGGCGTGAGGGGGAGAGTGGACCCTGGACGGGCTCTGTGAGCCTCCCCAGCCCCTGCTCTTTCCCTGCCTGCACCTGGCAGACACTCATGAGCCTGGAAGAGGAGGAGCAGCGGCTTAGAGTGTCTGTCAGGGGTGGGTTTCAGAGGATAAAGAGCTTGAACGGAGGCCTAAGGCAGGACTAGTGCCAGGACTTGAGGCGAATGTGGGTGCAATGAGTGGAGGTGAACAGCTGGGGAGGTCATCTGTGACAGGCAGTGAACCTGATCCTTTCTGCCCGGTCCCCTCACTTCCCAGTCAGGGAAACCGAGGGCCTGTGCCTCGCCCAGGCCACCGTGACGCAGTGGGCCGGTGTATGGCTGGAGCAGGTCTGAGGGGAGAAGCAGCAGCCGCCACCTCTCCCAGCCCTCCCGCACTCCCAGGACCACACACCCACCCCCAGGCTCGGCCTGGTCACCTGAGGAATAGGTGGGAGTGACTCAGGCTGGGGACCTGCTCTGGGGGCCCTGGGCCCTGGGCCACAGCAGCTCTGGGCCTCTCAGCTGTGATGCCAGGGCCCTTCCTTCCTCCCACATCTGCTTGAAAAGGTCACCTATTTTAAACTCTTTCTCACCCCACCCTGTCCCTTCCCCCCAAAGGGGATGAGTTTTTCTAACCTATGTCAACAGCTCAGTTCAATATCCCAGCAGCTTTCTCTTCTAGTGCCCATCAGACCCCCAGCCCTGGCAGACTCCCCCAGGTTGTCCTGAAGCCACTGCCGACTTACTGAACGATCGTGAGCAGCTGCTGTACATGGAGCCCTGTCCTAGGCCCCCAAGGATAGACCCTGCCTTCCTGGAGCTTACACTTTAGTAGAGGCAGACAGACCACGAACAAACCAGTCAACACATCCAGTAACAAGATCATTTCCGATGGCGACCAGCACTCTAAAGAAAACGAAACTGGGCGAGAGGATAGTGACTGAGCAGTTACTATAGAGTGAGAGGCCAAGGAAGGCTTCTCTGAAGGGGGACGAAGGTCTGGGGAAGAGTGTTCCAAGGAGAAGGAACAGCAAGTGCCAGAGCCTTGAGAATGGGAATGCCTGTTAGTGCGGGGCTTCTCAAGGTGGGGTCCCCCAACCAGCAGCCTCCCTTGGGAACTAGTTAGACATGTGTATTCTCAGGGCCCACCCAAGACCTGTTACAAACTCTGGGGGGTTTTGACCAGTCCTCCAGGTGATTCTGAGGCACCTTAAAGTTTGAGTCACTGAGTTAGAGCTCAGGGGGGAAGCCCCATGGGGGGCGTGTGGGGAGGGGGAGGGGCTGGCCACGGATCCTCCGCCTCATCCCAGCCCATCCACTCACTGCCTTGCCCGCTCCTGGCCTCGCCACCCTGGCCCACGGGAGGCAAAGCTGAAAGCCCGTCCAGGACTCGTCACCACGTCACCTCACCACACCTCTGGGTGATGTCAAACCCTCTCAGTGGATTTGTGAGGCTCTGTGAGATCTGCGCCCACTCATCTCTCCAGCCTCACTCCCCACCCTTCTCCCTCTCAAATCTTGTGTTCCTAAATGCAGCTACTCTTCCACTCCTCCCAACACACTCTTCCCCTTGTCTAGAATACTCTTTCTCTGCTTCTTCACCTGGCTAGATGTCCATCCATCCTTCAAAACGTAACTCAGGACTCGCCTCCGTGGGGAAGCCCTCCCTGATTGCCTCGTCACGGGGAAGACCACCTCCGGTCTGTTTCCTCACCAGCCAGCTCCCTCGTCAGTCTTCATCACATAGGTCTGACATTATGTGGGGGAAGAAGAGTTGCTCTTATATTTTATTTATCATTTTACTGAGATGTAATTGACACATAGCATTGTATTTAAGTTGTACACGTCATGATTTCACACACGTATATATTGTGAAGTGATTACGAGAAGTTTAATAAACATCCATCAATTTGCATAGTTACAAATTTATTTTTTCTTGTGATGAGAACTTTAAAGACCTACCCTCTTCGCCGTTATCAAACATACAATACAGTATTACAACTATAACTGTGGTTTTATAGTGTAACCATAGTCACCGCGCTGTGTGTTACGTCCCCAGGATGTATTCACCTTACAATGGAAAGTTTGTACCTTTCCACCACCTTTACCCAGCTTCCCTTGTTCCACTGGCTTGTTTTTTTAATCAATTCTTTTCTGTTTCACTACACGGTAACAGACTTTTCATCGATGCCAGTTTGGTGTGTCTATGCATTCATGCATTTTTGGTGCATCTGATGATACACGCATGTAGCTGTACAGAAGGTTAAGATTCATGTTGTGTTTATTTCTTTCCACGTGTAGGTCATATCCTATGGGTAATTATCATTTCACAACTTCCTTTTTTAACAGCGTCTTCGCGGCCCTCTCTGTCAGAACTGCTGTACTGGATTCCGAGGGATGGATGTACCATCATATGTTAGCCACTCCCCCGGTGTGCTAATCCTGTTTTTAATTTTCTGTATTTTCTGGTGGTTTCACATCCTAGGGCCCTGCTACCCCTGGAGAGTCTGACCCTCCGGGCGGGCTAATTCCTAGAGATAGTGTACAACTTGCCTGCAGACATGCCTTTGATATTCAGAGCCCAGTCCCCAACCACCTCCCTTATCTAACTCTCACAGGCCAAGTCAGTGTTTCCCCTGCCCCCAATCACCCCAGCCAGCCGCCAGACAGCTTGAGACCTTCCTCCGGCCAGAGCCTGCTGACATTACTCAAACTATCCAACTCTGAGCTTGTTCAAACTTGTCTACCCTGCTTTGCCCATTCTTTCTGAGGAAACCAGGGTCGAGGCTGTGGGTCATGCCCCCCACCTCCTCTTCCCCCCTCCTAACTCCGTCCCTGGTTCCTGCCGCCTCCTGACCACCTGGAGGGTGGGCCCCTGGAGGGCTTTCCCCACGTGGCCTCGTGCAGTGTGACGTGCTTCCTCCTCTTGGGAACTGTAACAAAACTCCCCTCAACGGCATTGGCCTCACTGTGCTGTCACTTGGTCAGCTCTGGTCCCAGGTGCCATCAAAGCACTGAACGATGGGCATTTAGAGGTTTTCAGTTTTTCCCCGTTACAGAAAAAGCAGCACTGACCGTCTTTATGGTTGCCTCCTTGCACAGGTGTGTGTACTTCCGCCAGGAGGCGGGGTGCCAGGTGCTAATGACCTCATCACTCATCTGTCTCCCTGGGCAATGCCCCTCCCCAGCCCAGCCCTGCTGGCCTGACCTTGGAGGTTTCACAGCTACTGAGTCCCAGAGGGAAAGGGACTCATCCTCAGTTGTGGTCTTGGAACAGTCTGGTGAGCAAAAGGGGCTCCACAGTGTAAACCTCTTCCCTGTCATCGGTCCGCCCAGTCCCCTGACCCTCCTCCCCGCTGAGTCTTAGCATCACCCAGTCAGGAGAGGCTTCCCTGGAAGGTACCACACAGCCGGGAAGTCAGCGGGAGGCCCGTCGGAGCCACGCTGCTCGAGAGAGCGTGGATTTGGGGATTAGGAGGTCTGTGTGACGTGGGGCAAGTGACTGGACCTCTCTGAGTCTTGGTTTCCTCACCTCCCAGAGCGACTGTCAGAACATGTGTGATACATATAACAATGTATGTAAAGCCCTGTGTGCATGCAGGCGCTCAAAACAAAAACACAGCTTGCTGTGCATTTCCATGCGCCCCTGCAGATGGGCGCTCCCTTTTCCACCCGGGGAAGCACCTGGGCTCCTCTGCTCTCTGGCTTCCACTCGGGCTTGTTCAATGGAAACGCTGGCAAAAGACTGGTGTCTAGAGGAAGAGAGGGGACAGGTTTTTATTGTCTGGCCCCCTGCTACCCTCTGGGCTGGGTTGACTGTGTTTAGTTCTACCTTAGGCCATAGCTTCCTCCCAGAGCTACAGCTCCCAGCACCCTCCCCCCACCCCCCTTCAGACTAACGGTGGCCAGGGCTCCTGCTGTCACTAGTCCCCGAGTGCCCCTCCATCCTTTTACCCTGCCAACCCTCGAGAGAGGAAGGCCCTGTGTTTCATTCTCTCCCAGTTCCACAAGCCCTCTGGTTCCTGCTGGGCCCTTCCCTGAAGCAAGGAGCTGCTTTGCCTGTTTTTGTCAAGGGGTTTGCTCTGTCCCTCACCCCAGCTGCAGAAAGAAGGTCCCTATACCACGAAGGATAGAGCAGCCTTGGGGAAGCCACCGGGGGTGTGGGGTGGGACCCCAGCTGAGAGGAGAGGAGCGAGGGGAGTGTCTGCAGGGCTGCCTACCCAGCTGAGCCCCGCAGGTAGCAGTCGTGGTGTCCCCACCTTCCTCCCAAACTTTGTGAGCTCAGGGTCTCATCCTCCCAAGCCCCTTCCACCAGGCCAGGTGTCCAGGCTCTGGGATCATTACTCACCCTAGTGAGCCATCCAGGACCAACTGAGACCACCATAGTCATTGATCCTGAGAGAGGTAGAGGCTGAACAGCAGGGATCCTGAGGTCAGCGGCTCAGGAATCAGTAGTCATACCAACAGTGACCAGTCCTACTATGTGTTCAGGCACTGTACTGGGACTTCTGTCCATTCATTCAGCAAACATTTACTAAGGGTCTACTATATGCCAGTACCATTCTAAGCCCTGCAGACACAGCAGTAAAGACGACAAGGATGACGCCCTCTTGGAGCCCTGGGAGATGGGCAGCCAAGCCCTGGGTAGT